GCTCAAGTGGTTAAGACGCTGAACTGCAGGCTGTGGAAGGTTGGTAGTTCAGCAGTTTGAGACCCGAGTTGCCGCATGACAGAGTGAGCTCCCGTCTCTAGTTCCAGCTCCTGCCAACCTAGCAGTTTGAAAGCAAGAAATTGCAAGTAGATAAATAGGGACCACTTCGGTGCGAAGGTAACAGCGTTCCGTGCGCCTTGGTGTTTAGTCATGCCGGCCACATGACCACGGAAACGTCTTCGGACAGCGCTGGCTCTTCGGCTTTGAAACGGAGATGAGCACCGCAACCCTAGAGTTGGATTCAACTGGCTTTCGGGCAAGGGAACCTTTACCTTTACTTACAACTGTTAGAATACTATATGCTAAATACTGAAGAAGAGCTGAAACACCCTTGGAAAAAAGAAATTTTAAATACAATCCTGGAAACAGCCAAAATGGATAAACGAACCTTAACTTTGAAAGGTCAAACAGAAACGACTTTTGAAAATACCTGGTCAAGGCTTTACAGTTGGCTAGAAGACTATTTCAAGTGAACAATATAGTTATTGGAATTCTATTAAGGACAAGCAAGATCCAGAACTGTTATTTTTTGCAAGAGACTTTATTAAGGATATAAGGTGGAATTCATACATGTACTACAATTTAGGCATGAGTTTGTAAAAGAAATAATCGATAGATTAATAACCCCCACTGTATGTTTGTTTTGTCTTTAAAAATAATAAAAATAGGGTTTTTTTTGGGGGGGGGGGAATGACCGTGTGACCACGGCCTAGGTCAGATGACTTTTCTTGTATAACCGACGATCTGAGAAAACCATGGTTGACACTCACAGGGGGAAGAAGCATAACAGAAGGGGAGTCATTGGAGAGAGCTCTCCTCTGGGTTCAGTCCACCCGCAGTCAATAATTATAGCATCTCTCCCCCCCCCAGTTACTAATTTACTCCCTGATGTTGCACAAAAGGGGTGTGGAGGAGTCCAAAGTTTTCTGCCATTCTGACCCCCGGCCACTCCTCCTGCTTCTAACGGGCTACTCTCCTGAAGCATCTCCAGTGAAGACAAGGAAAGCCAGGATTGCCTCTGTGTTCTGAAGCGGCAGCAGCAAATGAGGGCGCTCGGAAACACATCAGCAGGTGGCAAGGTGCCCATGGCCAGGCACTGTGTTGGAGATTACTGGTCTACTCTAACGGGCTGCAGCCGCTCAAGCAGGGAAAGGACCTTCCCAGCACCTGATCTCTGAGAGCCTTTAACTAGCCAGACCTGTGATTGAAGCCAGTGCCTTCTCACACAAAGCATGCGCTCTTCCTCTGAGCTGTGGGCCCTCCTCTACGAACATGAACATGAGAGCCAGTTTGGTGTAGCGGACAGGAGCACGGACTCTAATCTGGGAGAACCGGGTTTGATTCCCCATTCCTCCACATGCAGCTGCTGGTGTGACCGTGGCTCAGTCACAGTTCTCTCAGAGCTGTTCTGGGAAAAGCAGTCCTCAAAACAGCTCTCTCAGCCCTGCCTACCTCACAGGGTGTCTGTTGTGGGGAGCAGAAGGGAAAGGAGCTTGTAAGCTGCTCTGAGACTCCTTTGGATAGTGAAGGGCGGGGTATAAATCCAATCTCTTCTTCTTCGTGTGCTAATAAGGACTACCCAAGCAGATTTCAACTTTATTTTTCCTGAATGTGGCCAATTCAGCCATGATAGCTAAGCAGAACTTCTATATTCAGGCCCGTTATTCCTCGAGGAACAAATGGGGCACTGCCATCACTTTCATACCTTGCTTGCAAGCAGCTGCCCAGCAGCTGCTGGACTGGATGGATATTTGGCCCTATCCAAATATGGGGGCACGGCGTCTTACCCTTAGAAAGGCACGGATTCCTTGCATGAGAAGATACTAAATTCAGTCCCTGGTGGGGCTAGTTAAAGGATGTCAAAGGTTCTGAGAGAACCAGGTTTGATTTCCCACGCCTCCACTTGCAGCTGCTGGATGACCTTGGGCAAGCCCTAGTTCTGTCAGAGCTGTTCCCTCAAGGACAGTTCTGGAAAGAGCTCGGTCAGCCCCACCTACCTCACAGGGTGTCTGTTGGGAGGGGAAGGAATAGGAGTTTGTAAGCTGCTCTGAGAGTCCAAATAAAGGGTGGAGTATAAACCTAATCTCCTCCTCTTCCTCCTCTTCTTCTTTGGTGTAGCAGTTAAGTGCGCGGACTCTAATCTGGGAGAACCGGGTTTGATTTCCCACTCCTCCACTTGCACCTGGCTGGATGACCTTGGGCAAGTCGTAGCTCTGATAAGAGCTGTTCTTGAAAAAGAGCTGTTTCTGTCAAGAGCTCTCTCAGCCCCACCTACTTCACAGGGTGTCTGTTGTGGGGAGGGGAAGGGAAAGGAGTTTGTAAGCCGCTCTGAGACACATTTGGGTAGTGAAGGGCAGGGTATAAATTCAATCTCTTCTTCTTCTTCTTCTCCTCCTCCTCCTCCTTCTCCTCCTCCTCCTTCTCCTCCTCCTTCTTCTCCTCCTTCTGCGCAGGCTGAACGTGTTCCGAAATGCCCTCTCCGATGTGAGAGTTTTTGCCGCCCCATTTTTAGCTCCCTCATTTCTACAGCTTATGAAAGGATCCCTGTTTATTCAGCCTTACTGAATGCCCGCTGGTTTGTGCAAGCTCAGGACCCAGAACAGATGCCAGGAAACACTGGCAGCAAGAGAAACTAAACAGCTCAGAACGAACCCGAAAGCCCTCTTTTCAGCCGGCCTCTTGCAAAACAAATGCATCCCCTCTCTCCAGCCGCCAGCTCTCCTCTTTGACAATCATGCTGTCAAGGAGCAGAGCTGTGTCTGCTCTTCGCGTGGGTACCAAGGAGAAGGGGCTTTCCCAGTAATAACTGGTGGTGGCGGAAAGTGCCATCAAGTCGCAGCCGATTTATGGTGACCCTGTGTGGTTTTCAAGGTAAGAGACATTGCCTGCCTCTGCATAGCAACCCTGGGCTTCCTTGGTGGTCTCCCATCCAGGTTCTAACCAGGGCTGATCCTGCTTAGCGTCTGTGATCTGACACGATCAGGCTAGCCCACGCTGTCCAGTCGAGACGTTCAGAGATGGTTTGCCCAGGCCCACCTCTGCGCCACAACCCTGGAATTCCTAGGGGGGTCTCCCATCAAAGTTCTAACCAGGGCTGACCCTGCTTAGCTTCCGAGATCGGATGAGATCAAGCTAGCCCAGGCTATCCAGGCAAGAGACGTGCGGTGATGGTTTGCCAATGCCTGGCTCTGTGTAGCAACCCTGGACTTCCTTGGTGGCCTCCCATCCAGGTTCCAACCATGGCTGACCCTGCTTAGCTTCTGAGATCTGAGGAGATGAGGCTAGCCTGGGCTCTCCAGGCCAGGGCTGGTAGTAGTGACGTGCTAGCAATATTTGTGAATGGACCCAAGGAGATGCAACAAAACAGAACGAGGAGGCACCGGCGGTGTGATCCTACATGTGTTCATTCAGCAGCTAGCAGCTGGAGACCGAGCCCAATGAGGAAAGGCTGAGGGACTTGGGAATGTTCAGTCTGGAGAAGAGGAGGCTGAGGGGGGGGGACATGATTGTTCTCTTGAAGTATTCGAAGGGCTGTCACTTGAAGAAGAAGAAGAAGAAGAAGAAGAAGAAGAAGAGGAGGAGGAGGAGATTAGATTTATACCCCGCCCTTCACTTGGAGTCTCAGA